GTCTGGTTGCATACTTATTTATCAGAGTCTGGTTCTAGGATCCACATATGAGGGAGAACATATGTCAATTTTTTTTTTCCTGAGTCTGTGTTACTTCACTTAGTATAACAGTTTCTAGTTCCATCCGTTTACCTGCAAATTTCATGATTTCATTTTTACTGCTGAGTAAAACTCCATCGTATAAATGAACAGTTTTAATCATTTTACTTTCAAACCAATCCTCTGCAGGATCAGTACCTTCTTTTAGGCAGAAGAAAAGGCCTGTGTGGTTTCCCTAGTAAATGTTTCCTGCTTGTGCTAACTTTTCACAATACTGTGGAAATCAGCTATTAGACAGTGTCCTAGCTTGCTTCTCTATTGTGATTAAAAACACTGACCAAAACCAACTTGGGGAGGAAAGGGTTTATTTCTGTCTCCCAGGTCATAGTTCATAACTGAGGGAAGTCCCAGGTCACAGTTCATCACTGAAGGAAGTCAGGACAGGAGCCTGGGGCACAGGGCTTGGAGGAACATTGTTTACTGGCTTGCTCCTCTGGCTTACTCAGCCTGCTTTCTTCTATAGCACAGAACTACCTGCCCGGGGGTGGCACCACCCACAGTGGGCTGGGCCCTCCTACTCACACAACAATCAAAGAAAACACCCCACAGACTTGGCCACAGGCCCATCCAGTGGCAGCTGTTCCTCAATTGAGGTTCCCCACCCAGGTGTATCAAGTTGACAAGTGACGCTATCCAGCACAGACAGTATTCTACAGGTTTGCATTTCAAAACCCACATTAGAGAGATAGTGCACAATTAAATAGTGTCTTGAATCTAGAATCAGCACAGAGCCAGCTAGAACATTGAATCAATTTAAGTTCTGGAGATGGTTTTCAGTCATCTTGACTTTAATGTAGACATTTATCAGGGTTACATATTGTTTACCCTAAAAGATCCAACTTTTTCATATTCTTAGCCCTTGTGTAAGTTTGCTTCTTTACTCTGAATGACTTTTCCCCATTTATTGACTTTCTGAAATCTTACTAATCTTTTTTAAATTTATTATGTGTATGACTGTATTGCCTGCATGTATGTAAGTGCACCTGTGTTGTGCAGTGCTCGTGGAGGCCAGAAGAGGGCATCGAATTCCCCTGGAACTGTAGTTACAGAGGGTTGTTAATTGCCATGTAGGTGCTGGGAATCGAACCCGGGTCCTAACCATTGAGCCATCTCTCCAGCCCCAATCTTTTAAGAGTTATGTTACTACCTTACTGTGATAGTTTCCCCAAAACTTGTTCTTTCATGATCATTCATACACCCCTCTCATTTTAAAATACTGCACTGAGAACAGAGACCTTGTTTTCATATTCCTGTGTCTGGGCAAGACCCCTTGATACATGCGTTGCTCAATACATGCTGCATAATTCCTTACTGAGTCCTTACTGAGCACTGGCCTTTCTGCAGATAGAACTTTTCCTTTATCCATTTGAAAGTCAATTTGAACATAAGCAGTGGGACTAGAGATTGAATTCATGCTTTTGAGGGAGGTCAAAACAATTGACCTGAGACTACTATATTTTTCTTTTATTAGTTATTTGCTTAGTATTCCTCCAAGTACTTATCAGATACCTGCGGTGGTCCAAGACATTCTTCAAGGTGCCAAAAATGCCCTGATTAGTGAAGTCAGCCTTTCCCCGCCAGTGTGGAACTCAGTGTTCGAGGGGTTGGGAGATGACTCAGTTGGTCATATAAATAAAGAGAAGACAGAAAGAATAGCCTTGTACTTCACAGGCTTCGTATTTTTCTCTGCTCATTTGCTTACTGAGAAGATTCTTATGTGTTAGAAGTTCAGACAGCTTGGATACTAAGTGCAAATATAAATTGAATTAATCACTAGAACTAGTATACCACCATAATTAAACAGAGAGTGACTCTAGCATATTTAAAAGACATTGGGTTTCTTATTTCCCCGATTCCCTAGTGGTAATAGCTACGGTAACAGCAGTATGTTGCTTAATATTAGTTATTACTACATCCTTCTAACTGAGAAATTTAAGAAAAGATTTTGCTGTGGAAAATTAATTTTATCTCTCCTTTCACTCTTAAATGTAGAGTTAAAAATAACCTGCGTGAAGGGTTTGCATCTTGAATATGTTTAGCTTTTTTCTCTGCCCCCCCCCAAACCCACAGCTTCTAGTGTTTCAGAGACTTGCCATGTTTTGTGATGCTGAACCACCACCGAGTGAATTCCCTAAGGAGGGAAAAGAATTTAACACTGTATTTAACATTAAAAGCAGGTTTTCTGATTCATAAATGTTTCGAATGTTTTAGCTGGGCATGGTGGCACACGCCTTTAGTCCCAGTACTTGGGAGGCAGAGGCAGGCTGATCTCTGTGAGTTCGAAGCCAGCCTGGTCTACATAGTGAGTTCCAGGCCAGGTGGGGCTACAGGGAGACCCTGTCTCAAAAAGACCGTAAAAAAGCAGCTTTTCTAATTCATAAATGTTTTAAAAGATTATAAAAACAAAGCCATAAAAGAATTTTTAAAAATCAGCAAATAGAAAGCTGTGTAATGAGGCTGAAACGGGGCAGGGCAGTGCAGCCCAGTGTCTCGCGGGTCCCGAAGCCCAGACTCCATCCAGCTCATGAAGTCTCAGCACACGTGTGCTTTGTAGTCAAGAATACATCCATGGTGCGTGATATAGTGTTAGGGTCCATGACTCCATGGGTCTCTTCTGGAGAACAAATGTACAAGTACGGAGATGCAAAAATCAAGCAGAGTTTTACTAAACCACCTAGCTGGGGCCGACCGTCTTTCCAAGACACGCGAGTCTGGTCAGAGCGATTGACCCTGAGACAATTTTAGGTAAAGATTATATAGGCTTCCACAACCGTTACACACACAAAAGCCCGCGTTTATACAGCCAATAGTTTCAAAGCAAGCATTTCCCAAACCAATAACTTTAAAACAAGAAAAATGTTACAACTCCCTTCAGGTGTCTCAATCGGGGAGAGATGGTTGATATGTGCCTGGTACGACTCTTTCTTGTTATCTTGTGTAAGCAGACATGACATGACACAAAACAGGTCAGGCTCTGGGGACTGTAGCACTTTGCCTCTATCTTCGGATGCTTGTGTCTCCAGTTGAGTTAATTGGTTACAAGCAGTAAATTTAAACAAGTAAGTTCAAGCAGTAAATTCAGGCAAGCAGTATATTCAAACAAACAGTAAATTCCTCTTTCTCCAACAATAGCATTTCACGTCATCATCACTTCTAGATTTGCTCTCAAGAATACAGTATTGCATTGTCAGTAAAAGGCATTTTCTGTGGTTTCTCCCTTTAGTCTTTGAAGTAATCCTGTGAAATTGGTAATACAGGGTTCTTTTTCCCCTTTTTACTGATAGATTAGCCTGAAGAGGTTAATGAACACAAGTGTCAGTGCTATTCTTTGTCCCCAGGCTGTTAGATTCTAATCTCAGAAATCACATGACCACTTGAAAATGCCTTTTTTCTCTGGCTTTTGTTTTGTGTTTTGTTTGAGATAGGATCTGTCTGTGTAGCCCAAACTAGAACTTTTTTTTTTTTAATGTGTATGCATGTATTGTCTGCACCTGTGTCATGCAGTGCCCACGGAGGACAGAAGAGACTGTCAGATTCCCTGGAATTGGAGTTACGGACAGTTGTTAGCTGCCGTGTAGGTGCTGGGATTCGTACCCCAGTCTTCTGCAAGAACAGTCAGTGACTTAACCGCTGAGCCATCTCTCCAGCCCCTGGAACTCACTTTCTAGCCCTGGCTGATCCTTCTGCCTCAGCTTCCCAGATGCTAGGATTACAAGTATGAGGCACCACATTGACTTTTAAAAAATAATTTTTTTAATTTTTATTTTATGTGTATGAGTGCATTGCCTGCATGTGTAAGTGCACCCATGTTGTGCAATGCCTGTAGAGGTCAGAAGAAGGTGTCAGATCCCCAGGAACTGGAGTTATGGATGGTTGTTAGCTGCCGTGTGGGTGCTGAGAATTGAAACCAGGTCCTCCACAAGAGCATCAGTGCTCTGAACTGCTGAGCCATCTCTCCAGCCCCTACAGTGGCTTTTAAGGTTCTTCCAACATTATTATTGAAAGGAAGCAGAAACCACTGAACAGCACAAAATGTTCACAGATTTTACACATCACCTGTTTAACTTTTATGCTCTTGTGAGAGGGGAGGGCTGTCTCAACAGGAAGAAAGGAGAGAATTCTGGGGTTAGGGAAGACGTGGGCCTAAATCACAGATTAACTGTCCGTTATAGTATGTTCTTGAGAAAATTATTTAAACTGTGTAAACATAAGTTTCATCATTTAAAATCTGGATTAAACCAGGCATGGCAGTTCATGCCTTTAGTCCTGGCACTGGTAAAGCAGAGGCAGGTGACTCTCTGAGTCGAGGCCAGCTTGGTCTCTGTAGCTGCATACAAAGGCTTACAGGGAGACCCTGTCTCCAAAAGAAAAGAAAATTGGATTAAGATAGAGAACACAAAAAGATCAGTTTGTTGAGAAAGACTGGGTAAGTGAGTCAGGGCTGACAGGTAACTTGAGTAAACAGATTTGGACTCATACCTCTACCACCCAGACAGGACCTCTGTTGACACTGGTAGGGGGCATCTTTCTACCCACCTCCATGGGTCTCCAGCACTGCAGTCTCTGACCTCAGCTATGACCTAAGATCTGCTTCCCCAGCCATGCACGCCCTCTCCTGCAGTCCCTTCTTGCCGTACATTGCATTGGGGTGACTGCTACCACAGAGCACAATCATGTACAAGCCTCTACTCCACTTTACATGAATCTACTGGACCTCCATTTTCTTCTAGTGCTTTTGGAATTTGGATTTTTTATTTGCTGTGTAAGAGCCAGTTGTCTCCTTGACATTTTTTGAGTAATCTTGATTTAGCTCCTTAGTAATACTAAATTATTATATACTTGAATCTATTTCCAAACATAGTGTGCTTCTATATTTATTCAAATATTTTCTGGTATTCAACAGAGTTACAGAAATTTCCTCATACAGTCCCAAGTTATCTTATATAGAATTATCTGTATTTATTCCTGATAAATTTTAACAAAAATCCTTTGACTCATCAAGCCAGTTTTCGAAACTGATATTTTCCCATAAGATTGGTACCATTTGTAGTTATTACTATTTGTATCATCTTTGTTATTATATTTATTGCCAGTCATTGTTAAACGTAGCTGTTTCTTAAATTTATCTGTGATGTTTTAATTTTACTAGTGCTTTTCTGATGTACTTTTAATCCTCTCATACCTATATATAGGTATTAGTATATATACTAATTATATATACTAATATACTAG